AACATGCCTAGTATAATGTAACTAGGTAATAACATGTAAATAAATTAAGATATTTCTCCTTTATTTTGTAGAGACAAATTTCAATAATAAATGTAGGCATTTTAGGACTGTCCTTTTAAAAATAAAATGAGATGAGCCTCGCCCAATAAAATGCACTAATTCCGGGGCCCTCAATAAATGTTTAATTGAGTATTTAGAATTCGGGATGAACTGTTTAGTGAATTCCACAGTCTTACCCTTAAATAATAATAATACGCTAATCGCTTTAGACATGATTTTAATAATAATATATTCTTAAACACGGGTGCGCATTTATGCGACCCAAATCCAAATCCCAAAACATTGAATAAAAATACGTTCCGGATCGCGGGTGCATTTTATGTGACGCAATCCAAATACATGTTTTTTAAACAATGTTCACATTCTTGTAAAAATAATTAAAAAACAATAAAAGCGGTAAAAAGATAAAATTTGCACATGAGCTCATAATTGTATAAAAATCAGATAATCAAGCCAAATATAACAGTTGAGCGACCATGCTAGAACCACGGAATTCGGGAATGCCATATACCTTCTCCGGGGTTAACAGAATTCCTTATCCGGATTTCTGGTTCGCAGACTGTAATATGGAGTCATTCTTTTCCTCTATTCGGGATTAAAATTGGTGACTTGGGACACCCTAAATCTCCCAAGTGGCGACTCTGAAATAAATAAACAAATCCCGTTTCGACTGTCCTTTAATTGGAAAAAACGCCCTCGCATCCCTCGCGGGGGCGGAAAAAGGAGGTGTGACAATGAACTGCTATTGGTTATTGGTGTTGGACCCGACCTATGTTCCAGCTCGTCACTGCTTTCAACCTAAGGTTAGCTTTGTTACTTACTCAGTACATGGGGTCGGTTGTACTGATACTACACTTCTTTCCATTGCATGCGGATGTAGGCTGCTGAGGTTGCTGTGTTCGATGGGAGCTGGATTTGAAGATGTACATGTGTTCCTGTTGTAGCTGCCTCTTGTTCATGGTAGCCTTAGATTTATAAAACTCTGTTTATGTACCTTTCAAACAGAAAATGTATTTTCTTCATATCAGCTTTGTCAACTATATTCTTAGAAGCCCATGATTTGTACTACCAATCCTTGGTAAACGTATAAGATTCAGATAATTTTCTTTGATTAATTGTCCTATTAAATATTATTGAAATTGGATAGTTATTAGTTGGCTTACCTAGCGGGTTGGGTTATGTGTCATCACGACTAGTGAATTTTGGGTGTGACATGCCCCCCGCCTCACTCAGTCATCAATCTCTCTAGTCTCTCAGGCTCTCAGAAATCAGGAAAAATCATCCCAAACAACAATAACATGATGTATCAATAAGAATAACAGAGACTAAGATATGATATGCGAGTAAAAACTACGACTGAGTACAAATAGTGTTTAGCAGGCAAATCAACATGTAAAACGGCCTCTATGGGTCCCAATAGTACAAACATATAGCTTAAATATGGTTTCTAACATGATCTACAGTCAAATTTCTATAACACAAAGAGGACATATAGCTAACAACAAGTTATTCAACTTTACAGCTTCCTGGGATGGATCAAGTCACAGTACCCTCGGTGCACGCCCACAAGCCCGTCACCTAGCATGTGCATCACCTCCAAAATAATCACATGACACCAAATATGGAGTTTCATACCCTGAGGACCAGATTATAACTGTTACTTACCTCAATCCGAGCAAAGCTCTACTCTAAAATGTCTTTGCCTCTCGAGTCGGTCTCCAAATGTCACGAATCTAATCACAAACAGTACAATAGAATCAATACGGGCTAAAGGAATAAATTTCACAAGAAAAATTAGAGACTACAGCTCAAAATTCGAAATCGGCTCAAACCTGGCCCACGGGCCCACGTCTTTAAATCCGACAAAAGTCAAAAAACGCAAAATCCTATTCACTCACGAGTCTAACCATACCAATTTAATAAAATCCGACACCATTCGGTCATCCAAATCCCCAAAACTCAATCTCCAAATCCATAGCCCTAGACCCCCATATTTCACCTCAAAAACTCACCAACTAGGTGTAAAATCAGTGGGGAAACATTATTATTGAAGAAGAATGAATACAAGGAGCTTACCTAAATAATCCCTTCAAAAACCCTCTCAAAAGTCTCCAAAGTCCGAGCTCAAAGTGATGAAAATTGTGAAAAATCTCAAAGTCTCGTATTTATAGTTTCTGCCTGGGCCTTTCGCACCTGCGGCCATATTTCCGCACCTGCGCAAAATATACGCATCTATAGAAACCACTCAAGTTCCTAGCTATCGCACCTGCGCTCCCTATCCGCTTCTGTGGAAGCATTTTTGTGAAAATGCCTCGCTTCTGCGACCTCGCAGGTGCGGAAAGATCTCACACCTACGGTCACTGCCAATCCCCCTCTCTTTCACTTCTGCGGTCACCTTCCCGCTTCTACAGGCTTGCACCTACAGTTCCCACTCCGCAGGTGCGATTACACCAGAAGGGGAAAAACTTCAGCAAATCTTCAAACATCAAACTTGGTCCGTTAATCACCCGATATCAACCCGAGGCACCTGAGACCTCAACTAAACATACAAACAAGTCTTATCACCCAATACGAACTTACTCGAACCCTCAAATCACCTCAAACAATATCAAAAACACGAATTACACACAGATTCAAGCCTAATGAACTTTGAATTTTTCAAAATTTACAAACAACACCGAAACCTATCAAATCACATCCGATTGACCTTAAATTTTGCACACAAGTCATAAATGACACCAAGAACCTACTCCAACCTCCGAAAATTCACTCTGAATCCGATATTAAAAAGTCCACTCCCGGTCAAACTTTCCAAAATTTCAACTTTCATCAATTCAAGCCTAATTTTACTTCGGACCTCCAAAACACAATCCGAACGCACTCCTAAGTCCAAAGTCACCTAACGGAGCTAATGGAACCATCAAAATTCAAATTCGAGGTCGTTTACACATAAGTCGACATCCGATCAATTTTTCCAACTTAAGCTTTCAATTAAGAGACTAAGTGTCTCAATTCACTCCGAAATCACCCGGACCCGAACCAACTACTTAATTATAGCAGTAATATCCATCATTATAACAATATATTTTTTATAAATTATCTCTCTATAACACCCTTACTCAAATACTTATATATGTATTATTTTATACTAACAATAAAATAGTCTATTAATTATGCATAACTCTAATAAGCTTTGTAAGTTCCAATAAAGAATGTACCATCAAAAACCTTGTGAACTTGATACATGAGAAATAAAAAGATGAAGTTGTGTACCTTTTGTATTATGTTACTTTCCCCACACTCCAACTTATTAATATAGTATGAGATCTTTAAAAAATTTAATTAATGAAATATGAATATTGTCCTAACTGTATGCTGTGTAGTGGGTGTATTCAAGCACACTTAATATGTATATACTTAGTATACATCGAATAAGGAGAACCTTCTATGTTTTTGCCTTTCAAAAGATTCCTATAGATGCAGAGGGCCCCTTTCACTATTAGATAAGTGGGAATACCCAGCTTTAGAATTAGATATGATATAATCTTTATGTTAGTTAATTGTATAAAGGGCCATTAAGATAGTCATGTGAGGGTATACTTTGAACGTAGTTAGTGCTTACACGCCTCAGGTAGGTTTGGACGAAGAGGTAAAAAGACGCTTTTGGAAAGATTTGGATGCGTTGTTGCGGGGTATACCATCCACCGAGAAGCTTATTAGAGAGGGTGAATTTAACGGACACATTGGGAGGCCGCCTGGGGGATATGACGATGTGCATGGTGGCTTCGGTTTTGGATATACAAATGGAGGAGGTGCTTCGCTACTAGAGTACGCTAAAGTTTTTGAGATGGTGATTGCTTACTCGTGTTACTCGAAGAAGGCAGAGCACCTAATAACTTTTCAAAGTGTGGTGGCTAAGACCCAGATTGATTATCTACTTCTCCGAAAATGTGATAGAGTTTTATGCACGGATTGCATGGTCATGCCGAGTGAGAATCTTACGACCCAACATATGCTTTTGATTATGTACTTAGAGATCAGGTGGACGAGGAAGGGGAGGGCTATGTATGGTATACATAGGGTCAGGTGAGGTGCATTGACTAAGGACAAGGCCTAAGAGTTGGGGAAAATGTTGCTCACTATGGGGCCCTGGAGGAGTAGCGGGGATGCGAGTTATATGTGGTCTATGACAACAAATTGCATTAGAGAGGCGACGAGAGAGGTGTTAGGGGTCTCAAAAGGTTTTTTCTAGTGGCCATAAAGGGAATGGTGGTGGAACGAAGAGGGTCATAGGAAAGTGGAAGCCAAGATAGCAACATATTTGAAGCTAGTAGAGAGTATAGACGAGGGGCAGAAGGGTGCTAACAGAGAGGGGTATAAGAAGGCTAGGAATGAGGCAAAGATGGCGGTTACTGCGGCTAAGACCGCCCGTATAGTCGTGTATACGAAGAAATTGGGGATAAAGGCGGGGACAAGAAGTTATACATGCTAGCGAAGGTGAGGGAGAGGAAGGCCCAGGATCTGGACCAAGTGAGATGCATAAAATATAAGGAGGGAAGAGTTTTATCGGAGGGGGCACAGATTAGGTAGAGATGACAGTCTTACTTCCATAGGCTCTTGAATAAAGAGAGAGATAGGGGCATTGTGCTGGGGGAGATGGAGTACTCGGAGCGGCAACGAGATTTTGGGCACTGTAGACGTATATGAGTGAGGGAGGTTATATGGGTTATGCTAGGATAAGTAGGGGTAGAGTGATGGGGCCGGATGAGATCCCGGTAGAATTTTGGAAGAGCGTGGGTAAGGAGGGCTTGGAATGGCTTGCTAGGTTGTTTAACATCAGTTTTAGGATGAAGAAGATGCCCGAAAAGTGGAGGCAGAGTACGTTGATCCCATTGTACAAGAACAAGGTGAATCTCCAAAACTGCAACAACTATAGGGGTATCAAGTTTTTAAGCCTTACGATGAAAGTGTGGGAGAGGGTGATTGAAGGGAGGTTGAGGAGGTGTGTGTCCATTTTTGAGAACCAGTTTGGTTTCATGCCGGGCCGGTTGACCATTGAGGCTATTCATATTGTGAGGAGATTGGTGGAGCAGTTTAGGGTGGTGAAAAAGGATTTGCACATGATGTTCATTGACCTGGAGAAGGCATATGACAAATTCCCTAGGGAGGTTCTATGGAGATGTTTGGAGGCTAGAGGAGTGCCTGTAGTATATATTAGAGTGATTCAGGACATGTATGATGGAACTAAGGCACGGGTTAGGACAGCGGGAAGAGACTAAGATTACTTTTTGGATGAGATGGGCTTGCATCAGGGATTAACACTTAGCCCACTTTTGTTTTCCCTGACGATGGATTCTTTCACATGTCACATTCAAAGGGAGGTGCCTTGGTGCTTATTATTTACAGATGACATAATCCTAGATGATGAGATGTGAGGTGGCATTAACGAGATGCTGGAGGTCTAGAGACATACTCTAGAGTCTAAGGGTTTCAAGTTGAGCAAACCCAAGACAGAATACTTGGAGTGCAAGTTCAGCGATGTTACCCAGGAGGTAGACGGGGATGTGACTCGATACGCAAGTTATTTGCAGGAGAGAGAGTTTCAAATATCTGGGATCTATAATTCAGAAGGATGGGGAGATAAATGAGGATATCACACACCATATCGGATCAGGGTGGATGGAGTGGAGGCTCGCTTCCGGTGTCTTGTGTGATAACAATGTGCCGTAGAGACTTAAAGGTAAGTTCTACAAGGTAGTGGTTAGACCGACTATATTGTATGGGGTAGAGTGTTGGCCAATCAAAAACTTTCATGTCAAACAGATGAAGGTAGCGAAAATGAGGATGTTGAGATGGATGTGTAGGCATACTAGGTTGGATAGAACTAGGAATGAAGTTATTCGAGATAAGGTGGGAGTGGCCCCTGTGGAGGCAAAGAAGCGCAAGGCAAGGTTGAGATGGTTCGGACATGTTGAGAGGAGAAGCGCAGATGCCCCTATCAGGAGATGTGAGAGGCTGGCCTTAGGAGGTGAAAGAAGGGGTAGAGGTAGGCCAAAGAAGTCTTGAGGAGAGATGATCAGACGAGACATGGCGCAACTTGAGCTAACTGAGGACATGACCCTAGATAGAAGGTTGTGGAGGTTGAATATTAGGGTACAAGGTTAGTAGGTAGTCGTGCGTCTCCCATTGTCTTCTCTAGCTCAATAGTATTAGCGCTAGTACGGTACACTTTTTTCCTTAGTCTGCTGAATTTTCATGTTTCGTTTTGTTATTACTTGCCATTGGTAATTCCGTAGTTTGCTAGCAGTACTTCATCATATTCTCGTTTGCTGCCTTGGAATTAGTTTTCTAAATATGTTATCTTGCTACCACTTATTATCAGTACCTTTTTCATATTATTTGTTGCTATTTTCAATTTAGTTTTCTCATTAATGTCTTTGCTATTACTCGCTACCAGGGCTTCTCTCACCTTCTTTAGTCGACGGTCTAACGGAAACAGTCTCTCTGCCCTTCCAGGGTAGGGGTAAGGTTGCGTACATCCTACCCTCCCCAAACCCCACTTGTGGGACCACATTGGGTTGTTGTTGCTGTTGTAGTTAATTGTACAAAGCATAGACTGAAAGTGCTGTAGGTTCGGCTGCCTCTGCGCTTAGTCTGATGTAAGTGGAAAACGGGCGGGTCAGGTCGGATTGGATGGGCCAAAAATGGATAATAGAAAAACGAATAAATTATTCAACCAGACTCATATTTAATACGAATAAAAAAGCGTGTTAATCGGCCGATAATATGATTATTCATGATTTCTTGAATATGATCACTTTTAGGAAAATTCCTAGTACCCCAAACTTGATGTCATGACCCAATTTCCTTATAGACCAGTGCCCAACATTGCCGTTGGGCAAGGCAATGGTGAACTAGCCATATATTTATTCTTTTTAATAGTTTCGAAATAGTTAATTTTTATTTATTAAGTGTAATGACCTTACTTCTTTTTTTGAGTTGTAGCACGTCGTTTGGCAGTTTGAGCCCTTGAGTAGCATCACTTAATGTATTATGATTGGTATACGTGATCGGGTTTTAATTTCAAAAATTTCGGAGTTGATTTGGATAGAAAATTCTAATTTTGAGAGATTTAAGTTGGAAGAATTGACTAAGTTTTGAATTTTTAATGACCTCGGAATCAGGATTTGAAGGTTTCAATAGATTCGTATGATGATTTCAGACTAGGGCGTATGTTCGAATCGGGTTTTGAATGAACCGGGAGCGTTTCAGCGTTTATTGTGGAAAGTTGATATTTTGGATGAATTTTATAAGTTTGGGTTGAAGTGAATTTTGATGTTATCGATGTCCGTTTAGGATTTTGAGACTGGGAATAGATCTGTATGGTGATTGTGGTCTCAGGAGCATGTCCAGATGTGGATTTCGAGGTTCGTAGATAATTTCGGGGTCATTTGGTGAGAGTTGGAAATTTGAAGGTTGGAAAGATTGACTGGGAGTGGACTTTTCGATGTCGGGTCTGAATTTTGATTTCAAAAGTTGAAGTAGGTCCGTAATGTCAAATGTGACTTGTGTGCACATTTGATGTCAATTGGACGTGATTTGATAGGTTTCAGTATCGGATGTGGAAGTTAGAAGTTCAACAGTTCATTAGGCTTGTATCAATGCGCAATTTGTAGTATTGATATTGTTTGACGTGGTTTGAGCTTTGACTAAATTCGTATCGTATTTTGGGACGTGTTGGTATATTTGGTTAAGGTCCTGAGGGCCTCAGCTGGATTCTGGATGATAAACAGATCGAGTTTGGGCTTGGGGGAATGCTGAAGTAGTTGTTATCTGGTGTAACCAGACATGCAAGGTTTTGGCCGCAGATGTGGAGTCACAGAAGTGGCCAAGAGGGTCGCAGAAGCGGTTCTGCCTGGTGAAGGCTGGGACCGCAAATGAAATCAAGTTCCATATAAGCGAAGGCACAGAAGCACTGATGGGGCCGCAGATGCGGAGTTGAGGGGCCTGAAAGAGGATCGCAGAAGCGGTATTTTGACCGTACTTGCAGAACAGTAGAAGCGGTCAAGTGACCGCAGGTGCGAGATGGCGCTGGGCAGTGAGGTTTTTATAAAAACAGGTTTTGGCCCATTTTCACTTGGTTGGGGCGATTTTGGAGAGCTCCAAGGGAATATTTTCATCAAGCAACACAAAGTAAGTGATTCCCACCTATTACAAGTTAAATACATGATCTATATATGGATTTAAACATAGAAAATTAGTAAAAATTGTGGGATTTTGGTAGAAAACCTAGAAATTGATATTTTTGGATTTTGACCATGAAATTGGACATGGAATTGAGAATAAATTATATATTTGGGTTCGTGATGTTATGGGTAATGATTTTCTTCGAAAATTTTTGGAATCCGGGCATGTGGGTCGGAGGGTGACTTTATCAAGTTTTCGAGCGGAGTTGAAATTATTATAAATTGATTTATTATGAGTATTAGAGCATAATTTATGGATTTGCACATTGATTGACTAGTTTTGGAGCGATGGACACCGGTTTGAGGTGTTAGAGCATCGTTGAAGCCGGTTATAAAACTTCGGAGCGAGGTAAGTCTCTTGTCTAACCTTATGAGGGGGAAACTACCCATAGGTGATGTAATTGTTGTGTGGTAGTAGTTGTGGGTGCTATGTGCGCACGAGGTGACAAGAGCCCATACGTAGTTAAAGCACGTTTATGTCCGGATAGACTTAGGATGTTATCATGCAATATTTGAATTACTTGAACTTATTCTATTGGCTTAATTAGTTGAAAATATGATTGAACTTGATTTAGAAATTAAAAATATCTTACGCCAACCCTTATCACTTTGAGTTGTTGGCAAGAAAATTAATAAACGGTAAAGATTATACTCACTTGTGCTCATGTACTATATTGAAAAAAGTATCTTATGATTCAGAAACTTCCTACCTTTCTTGTATAGCGGGCCAAACGCCTCGGTAGTATATAGATGCATCTATGGTTCATGCCGCATGACTCTCAATAGTATACACATTATTTTGAATCGGGCCGAACGACCTCGGCAGAATCGTGCGTTATCGCTAGTAGTTCGAATATTCACAAGATAAACCTTCCACTTATGCCCGACATTTTATAGTATTTCTTATTAATTTGATATTGACACTTGGCATTTTCTGAGGTGTTGAGGTAGAATATAAGGTCGAGAGATTTATGCATTAATAGGGATAATTGGAACATTATGATATTACAAATTTACTCCACTATTGCTGTGCACTTCATTTGTTAGAAAGTGTCATATTATTTATTCATTTGGACCTCTAGTAAGTGTCGACATCGACCCCTCGTTACTACTTCTCTGGGGTTAGGCTAAATACTTACTGGGTACGCATTGATTTACGTACTCATGCTATACTTCTGCACTAAATGTGCAGGATCTGACAGGTCATTTGGTGATTATCTTGGCGTGTAGGTGCACCTGTTGAGGA